AAAAAAAAAATATATCAGCCTTACTTTGGTAATAAAATTTTTTTCCCCTCGAAGTAAAGGGAAGATGAAAAGACTGTGTGTTACATTTAACCTTCACACAAATGCTGTGAGGTGGAAAGGAACAGGTAGGCTTATTACCTATATTTCAGAGATGAGGAAATTACAGAATCAAACAGATAACTAAGCTTATCTTTAAAGTAAATGGGTGAGCCTGGATTTCAGCCCTGATCTGTTAGATTCACAGTTCCAGGGCTTCCCACTGCATCTTAGAACTGGGTTATCTGAAAGGCTTGTTTTGTAAAGGGCCTACTCATTTAGCAGAAAGCAGTTTGTAAGCAGGGACTGATTTCATTTTGCACTAGAAATGACTTTATTCGAGATTTAGTTTCTTAATAGCTCACTGTGTTTTTTTGAAGGCCAAGTCCAGTGCCTATTTTCAAAATATGATAATCCATAGGATTAACTTGGTATGGGTATTTGTAGAGACATGCTTGAATTATTGGGTTGTTGGAAAAGTCATAACATATTTTTCTGTTTTTCTATGCAGAAATGCGTCATGACTTTTCTGATGACCCAGTACTTATTAATTATAAGCAAGACCCCAGAGCTTCTTGTCATCTCCTTTAAACTTGACTTCTCCAGTGCCAGGGGATTTTAGTCTCTAAATGATACCACCTAGGTGAGGTCTTTCATTCCTTCTTTTCCCACCATGTACTTTTTCATGTTTGTCTTATTTCTAGTCAAGTATATGAAACAACTAGCTGACAACTCTTTGCAAGCTATCTTTATATTGTTAAGCTTGAAGAGAAAGAATTTAGAATGGTCAGAGTTTTGATATTAACAGATTTATTTGTTTAGGTTTTGGTAGGGAAGGCTGGCCAAGTAGGGTGTGATTTGGAATAAAGCTATTGACCTTTGATAAAGAATGATGTCTTTTTATTCACATTGATAGTGGCAGTAATTAGTCCACCTGGATGCTCTTCTGAGTCCAGTTCTAAGTTTGACAATAGACCCTTTTTTCTCCCTCTGGCTGGCTACCTCTGGAAATGGCCCTCAGGGAAATCCTGGTAAACTCTAATTTCTTTTGAATTTTAACTGTTTAAAAAGTCAACTTGAATCGGTTAACAGCCAAAGTTCTTGACCGTGTTGCCAGTTTGCCCCATTTACTTTTAATGTGGGGTGATATGGAATCTTTAGGACTTCTTTAGCTATAATTTGCCATATTTCATATGTTAAGATTTTCTGTGGATCAGATTCATACCTTATGTGCTGTTAGTAAAAGTCAAGAAGGCCTCTTACTTTTTTCCTCTAGTGAATCATACACCTTTAGAACTTGAAAGAACTTCCAAAATGATCTATTCTAACCTCTTCACTTTCTCCGAACTTCTCTTCTAGGACTATGTACTCAGTCCTAATCTATGAGTTGATGTCTTTATCTTTACTTCATTGAAAGACAAGTAGAAACTTTCTATGTCCTTCGTAAAAATGGGATTTAGCTCTAAAATGTTGGTTAAATTTGACTCTTCCTACATGTATGCTGAGTGACCTTAGGCAAGAAAAGTTTTTTAAGGAGACCTCTGAAAAATAGTACCTGAAAGCTTGAGAGGTATAGTTTGTGCTTGATAACTTTTTCTTTCCTTTTGTTATATATTTCTTCATCACTGGTGAATCTTCATAAAATTTTGTTCTTATTCTATCTGGCTGGCTGTTTTAGTATTTTTTTCTGCTACTATAACTGAATACCACAGACTAGGAAGTCTGAAAAAATAAAGGTTTACTTAGTTCAGATTCTAGAGGTCCAAGATTGAAGGACAACATCTTGTAAGGGCCTTCTTCCTGGTGAGGACTCTGCAGAGTCCAGAGATGGCACAGAGCATCACATGGTAAGAGGGCAAGAGCATGTATGTCAGCTCTGATCTCTCCCCCTCTTGTAAAGCTACCGGTATTTAATCATGTGGTCCCATGCTGATGACCTCATCTAATCCTAATTACCCTCCAAAGGCCCCATCTCTTAGTATTAGAGTGGATTAAGTTTCCACCCTCTTAATACTTTCACAGGAGCTCTGAATTTCAACACATGTACTTCAAGAGACAATTCAGATCATAGCACCAGCTCAAGGAATTACCTTTCATTCCTTCTTTTCCTGTACTCTGCTTCCCATTTACTTATTCACATTTGTCTTATTTCTAATCAAGTATCTGAAACAGCCAGCTGACAGCTATCTTAGCAAGCTATCTTTATATTAAGCTTAAGAGAGAATTTAGAATGTTCAGAGTTTTCTGTACTTGGTATTAACAGGCTTCCTGTTCACGTTTTGATAAGAAAGAAGTCTTAGTAAATGAAGAAAGTATTAAAATATAGTTGTGGATTTTTTAGGGTTGAGCCAGTAATATATTCAGGCCATAAATTCTCAGTAATTAAGAGGGAAAACTGCTTAATAATTTTACTGTCTTAAAAGCATATGTATAGGGCCAGCAGGTGGCATGGTGTTTGAGGTGCTGGACTCCCACATGGTCAACCATGGTTCGAGTCCTGGACCTGGCAGCTTCCTTTCTCTCTCTCTCTCTCTGGTCAAATTGGATAATAATAAAAGCATATGAATATCTACAGAAGACTTTCTGTTGTCTTGTATCTAGTAGGTGTGCAATAAATATTCATTGAATAAATTTTTACATAAGAATAAAATGAACCTGAGAGAATTACGTAACTAATAACAAGTTAGGCTCTCAGGGCACTGTTTAACTTGTATTAGCGTGTAGGTAATTAAATACTATCGGTAGTATAACAGGGCCAACTTTGTGGCTTCATGGTTGAGTTAGCCAGAGCCCACATGGCTGACAGTGTATTTCAAGTCCAGTGGATTGAGAACATGCAGAGCACATGGGCATACATGTCCAAAATCATGAAAGAAGGGAGAGAAGGAAGAGAAGGGGTTGGGGCATGACCATTCCCTATAGGGGTGCTTTCCTGCCTCCTGCTGTCTCTCTCTGGCTAGCACAAATGCCCTCTAGCAAAAAACAAAAACTAAACAAGAGACAAAAATCGAATATGCCTACCATATTTGTTATGTCTATTGATGCAAAATTATTACTCGTATCTTCCATATGAGGTTATTAGCATTTGAATTTTAATATTCTATAGGGTTTTTAAATTAAATTTATTTTATTTTATTTGACCAGAGATGGTCAGAGAGAGAGAGAGAGAGAGAAAGAGAAAGTGAGAAAGCAAGTTGCCAGGTTTGGAACTTGAACCGTGGTTAGCCATGTGGGAATCCAGCACCCTTAACCCCTACACCACCTGCTGGCCCCAATATTCTATAGTTTTAATTAGGTTTTAGTAACCAAAATCTTGAAATAGTCTCAGGCCTAAAGCAGTTTATTAGAAGGGTAACCATATAACTTATTATATAAACTGGGACCCTTTAAAGGAAGAGACTTTATTCAAAATTAAACTAGGATAGCATGTGCAAACAGTCTTGTTCCAGGCAATATTCCAGGCATTGATCCATTCTGGGACATCCAGGGAGATGTCCTAGTGAAAAAGTGAGAAAGTGAGCATACTTAACCACCAACATGCCCACCTGTGTAAAGTAAACTTTTTATTCAGGTGTAACATACATTTAGAAAGTCAGTACATGCTAATTGGGCAGCTGCACTAATTTTTTTTTTTTTAGAATTTTGTATTTAATTTTTTTTTATTTATTCACATATTTTAATTTGACCAGAGAGAGAGAGAAAGCAAGAAAGCAAGCCACCAGGTCTGGGACTCAAACTGTGGCTGGCCATGTGAGAGTGTCCAGCACCTTAACCACCATGCCACCTGCTGGTCCCCCAATTTTTTATTTTTTAATGAGCCATCCAGATCAAGAAATATGACATCACCAAGTATCCTAGAAGCCTCCTTTGGTCACTATTTCTTACACCATGCAAGGTAACCATTGTTTATACTTTTAACCATAGATGAGTTTGCCTGTTTTGGGACATTATGTAAGTGACATCTTATAGTACACATTCTTTGTACAGTACTTGGCATCATTGACTTAATGTTATCTTTGTGAGATCCATCTATGTTGTATGTAGTGATAATTCCTTAATTTTGATTGCTGTCATATAGTCTATCATGTGAATATACCACAGTTTGTGTGGTATATTGATGAATAGTTCAGATCTTTTTTTTTTTTTTTTTGGTGAGGTTTTTGCTATAGGGCACATGCGCTCCCCAGTAAGACAGAGACGGAGAGACAGAAAGAGAGAAATCACCCCAGGGAGGATGGCCACGCCGCAGTCCTTTCTCCTCCATTCTCCTCTTGGGATCTTAGGCATGCACACACAGGCGTCCAGCATGAGTTTAAGCCACTGGGTCTGGGACTCGAACCACAGTCGACTACATGGGAGTCCAACAACATAGCCATTACGCCAACTGCTGGTCCCAGTTCAGATGTTTTAATTTGGGACCAGTAGGAGCAGTGCTGCTATATCCATACCTGTTTATGAGTCTTTTGGTGAACATAATAAATACTCATTCTTCCTGGGTGTGTAATTAGGAATGGAATTGCTGGGTCATATTGTGAATATTCAACTTCGGTACCCATGTTCCTGCAGCAGTAGAAGAGTGGTCCAGTTACTCTGTGGCTTTATCAGTAATATGTATTTTCTGTCATTCATTTTATTCTCGTGACCTTGTAAGATCATAGTAAAATCATATTGATAGCTAATGATGTTGAGTCCCATTTCCTATGCTAATTGGCCATCCAGATCTTTTTTGGTAATACCATTTAACTACTTTCCTTACCTTCTCCTTTCTTTATTTAAGCTTTGCCCGTTTTCACTTGATTTATCTCTTTCCTTATTGATCTGGAGTTCTTTCTGTATTCTGGAAAGAACAGATTAACACCTGTTGTCATTATATGTATCAGAAATATCTTTTACTCTGGTTTTCCTTTTCTCTTTATTAACAATATCTTAGAATGAACTCAAATTTAGTGTCATCCAGTATGTCAATATTTTCTTTTCTGATTTTTTAAATTATATTTAAGGAATATTTGAATACCTAAAGTTCATAGAATTGTTCTCCTCTGTCTTCTGGAACCATAATTGTTTTACATTTCATATTTAGTCTACAGTCTAATTGGAATGAATGCATTTCTGTGTTTAGTATGATGTAGTGGTCAGGATTTAATTTTTTCTGTATGAATATCCATTCTTTCCTGTCTCAATACCACATTCCTGTAGCTAATTACTCATTCATTCATTCATACATTTAATGAGTGAAAGAGAGGCAAGGGGTAGGGAGGAGTGGGGGCTTCCTGTCCCAGCCTCCTAGGTCTCTAGGACCATAGGTGTGTGCTGCTGCACCCAACCTCTTTAAGTTGGGCCTCGAGTCAAATCTGGGCCTCCTGGGACCAGCAGTTAGCATAATGGCTATGTTGCTGGACTCCCATGTAGTTGACCGCAGTTCGAGTCCCGGACCCGGCGGCCTAAACTCACGCAGGGCACGTGTGCGTGCGTGTCCAAGATCCCAAGAGGAGAATGGAGGAGAAGGGATTGTGGCATGGCCATCCCCCCAGGGGGTGATTTCTCACTTTCTCTCTCTCTGTCTTTCTGGCAAGCGCACGCACCCTATAGCAAAAGAAAAACCTCTCCAAAAAAAAAAAAAAAGAAATCTGGGCCTCCCATGTGGCCTCAGCTACTTTGCAACAGCACTATCCTGCTTGTCTCACTGCTGCTGGTTCTCCTTGAGCTTTGTAATTATCTTGGCATATGGTAATATAAGTTAAGTTTTATTATTCTTCATGCTTGTCTTTGTTATTCTTGACCCTTTTTGTTTCTATAAACATTTTATAATCTCAGTGTCCATACACAAAAACAGCTTAGATTTTTCACCGGAATTGTATTATATCTAAGGATAGTAAGTTTATATCTTTATAATATTTAGTTTTCCAATCTAGGAACATAGTGTATATTTTTCTTTTTACTTAATTAATTTTGTATTTCTTAATTTCTCCCAACATTTTGTTTTTTCCAGGGTGTAAGTCTTGAATTTAGTTCTTATTTTTAGAGGGTTTTTAAAAAATAAATTATTGAGATGAAATTTGCATAATATAAAATATTTGTCATAGCCTGCAATAAAAAAATACCTGAGACTTGGAAATTTATAAAGAACAGAAATTTATTTCTCATTTCTAGATGTCGTGAAGCCCCAGATCAAGGCACCAGCACACTTGTAAGTCTGGTGAGGGATGTTCTCTGCTTCCAAGAAGGTGCCTTATGGCCCAGCCCTGTGGAGAAGGGCAGGCTGTGTTACCACATGGCCGAAGGCAGAAAGCTCGAGAGCTAGGGAGCAAGCGAGCTGAATGTTGAGTGAAATCCCTCTTATAAGGGCTTTCATCTCATTAACAAGGAAGGAACCTTCGTTTCTTAATAGTACCAAACCGGCAGTATCTGAGTTTTGGAGGAACGCATTCATAACATCATTAAAGTGAGCAATTTAGTGGCATTTAGTGTATTAACAGTGTTGTGCAGCCACCTTTATCTGTAACAGCTCCATAAATGTTTTTATCGCTTCAAAGTTAAACTCCTTAGCAGTCTCTCTGAGCCTTATTCCCCTTCCCTTTATACTGAGGCAACCCCAGTTTACATTGTCTCTGTGGATGTATCTATTCTGAATAGTTCATGTAAGTAGAATCATACAGCATGTGACTTTCTGTGTAAGACTTCTTTCCCTTGGTATGCTTTTTGAGATTAATCTTTGTTGTGGTATGTATGCATATTTTCCCGCTAACTGGGATTCTTTTGTATATACCACAATTTGTTTAGTCACCGGTCTGTTGACACATTGGCTATTTACTCTTTTTTGGCTACTGTGAATGGTGTTGCTATAAACCTGGGCCAACTTGTTTTGAGTTCCCATTTTCATTTCACATGGCCAGATACCTAGACGTAAAATTGCTAGGTCGTACGGTAGTTCTGTATTTAACTTTTTAAAGTAATTGTCAAACGCTGATTCCTCATTGGCCGAGTACTAGGTGGTGTGGTCTTCTCACATGCTGCCTAGGTTTTATTATTCTCTTACTGTGTGTTAAGGTGCAGGCTCTGGACAAGCCTGTGAAAAAGGCTTGCCAAATGTCCCGCGGAGGGAGAAGAACCGGGAAGTAAAAAGAAGCAAAGGGCTGGTGAGCAGTCACCAGCTTGCAAAGTCATTTCTCAAGGGCAACTTGTTTTTGGGTTGTGTTTGTTCAGGAACTTTTCAGAAATGTGTACTTTCTGGGGTTGTCACCTCTACAGTCTGGTTAAGCAACTTTTGTTAAGCTAGTCTTAAAAATGAATCACTTAAGGTTAATACAGTGTAGTAACATATTACACGAGTTGTTCTGCACCTTACTTTAGTACTATTTTTTTTGTCCATCGTGATTCTTTTGTTTGTTTATTCTTTTAGTGTATCTTTTCTGCTGTTTCAGTGGAATTCTGGTAGGGAGGATAAGACAGCCTATGTACTTGTTACTATGACTTCTGAAAGGGAGATTTAAACCCCTTTTGGATATATTGCCATTAACAGATGTGTTAGAGAAAGGACATACTGTTACCTCCTCTGTTGGTGATAATAGGTGAATATGACACCAAGAGATGTTATACAACCCAGGCAACTGAGTCTTGCTCCTGACCTGTATTCGGTGTTATAAATCCCTTTGGAAACAAAGAAACACCATTCAGTTGTGTTCAGAGTTTGACAAGGGTTGAGTGAAGATTTGAGCTCTTATCGCTGGGGGGACTTTCTAAAGATTGTTGAAGGTCAGTGACTTGTCTGAGATGATATGGGAAACAAAACAAAACAGGGTTAGCATAAGTTGCAGTTCATTCTTTCCACCTTATTACAGTGAACTAGAGTTTAGGTCTTCTGTTCATTTTCAATTTTGATTTTTCCTGCCCTTTGAAATACTAACTTGAATGCCAAAAGATTTTTAGTATTTAACTATGAATGCAAATCCTTGAACTAATGCTTATTTGCATTTTTTTCTTAGAACCAAAATGGTTTCAATCCCAGAATACTATGAAGGCAAGAATGTCCTCCTCACAGGAGCAACTGGTTTCCTAGGGAAAGTACTTCTGGAAAAGCTGCTGAGGTCTTGTCCTAAGGTGAATTCAGTGTATGTGTTGGTGAGGCAGAAAGCTGGACAGACACCCCAGGAGCGAGTGGAAGAAATCCTTAGCAGCAAGGTGAGTATGGAAAATAATCATTTGGAGGGGAGAAAAGAATGTGCCTGAATGTGTAATTATGGTAATAATCAAGTATGTTTCTTCAATATCCAGAAAAAATTCAGTAAAAAAAAATTTAGTTAATACTCAACGAATCACTTAAATCTGGTTGCTTAACCAGATTGTAGATGCGACAACCCCAGAAGGTACACACCTTACAGATGGCAGTAAACTGTGTGCAACTTACGATTCCAGAGATAAAAAGCTTTCTTCTAATCAAGGGCAGAACTGTATGACAAGTTTCAAATTGCCTTTTGGTGGGTATTTAAATATCTGTTTTAGAACATCTGTGGCAGGTTTCTGTAATTACTTGGTATTTTACATAGTTTTTAGATAATAGTGAGGTAGTTTTGAAATATCTACTATGCTATGAGATGCTATGCTTTGATAACAGTTTAAAATTTATGAGCATTAATTGCTCTTCAAAACAGTACTAGGAAGTAAAGAAGAAACCTCCTCCTTTGTCAGATGACAGAGAGGTCATATAGAATATAAGAATCTCATTTATTTTTGAACCTTTCGAACAATACTACCAGGAAAAGATAGAAATGAACTGGAGTAAATTTATTTCACAACCATAAACTTGTGTCTCAAATAGTTTTGTCTGACACACATTGATAGTGAGTTTGAATTAGAAAACTGCAAGCTTAATTTTGGTATGTCTAAAGAATCTGATTCTGCATATGTATCTCAAAAAGGAGTTTCAATTACAGCATATATTTGAGAATGTACTCATTTAAATATTTAAATTCTTATAGACTATTAAAAATAATTCCAAAATAGGGCCAGCAGGTGGGTATAGTGATAAAAGCGCTCAATCTCACTTGGTCAACTGCACAGTTCAAGTCCTGGACCTGGTGGCTTGAAAAACACACTAGGTGTATGTGTATGCCCAAAATTTTGAGAGAAGAATGGATTGCAGTGAAGTCATCCTCCCTAGGAGGGATGATTTTTCACTTTCCCTCCTCTATATATCTCTCCTGCAAGCATATGTGCCCTATAGCAAGTTTTTTTTTAAGAGGTTTCTTGCTATAGGATGTGTGCGCTCGTCAGAGGGACAGAGAGACAGAAAGCAAGAAATCACCCCTGCAGTGGGGATGTCCAGGCCGTAATCCATGTATCTTTTATTTTTTAACCCTGGGATGTAAGATTCTTTCTTAGAAATTTAGAAATTCAGAAATTCTTCTTAAACTTTTTCAGTTATTCAAATTAACCAATATTAGTTTTCCTTAACCACTTTTTGTCTTTTTGATTCTTTGCTGAACCCTTTTTAAATCTTTAGCTTCCTTAAAATATATGAGAAAGGCATTGTCAAGGGGGCTATGAGACCACAAGGCTTGCTCTAAGAAAAATACCTGCATGTATGTTTGTTCGTTTTTGCTATCTCTGCCCCCTTTTGAGCTCGTTTTGGCATTTTATTATAAGCCACATGTGATGGCATGTTTTAATCCCAACAGCCTCTTCCCTTCAGTGAGGGATTATTTATTCTTATTACTTTTTAATTTTTCGAAAACATTTATTGTATCTTCCTTGTCCTGGACATTCGATTTGATGTAGGAGTTTTAATTCAGGAATAAATAGCATGGCATCTCTGCCTTTCAGAGAGTTCTTAAGAGGGGAGAGGAAGGAAGAGAGTATTGAGGTATCAAGAGGAGATTGGGGAAGAACAGTTATTGAAGCATTGAAGCTGATGTCTCGGTTGGAATTAAGGCCTGAGTACAAAATATAAAAGATTTGGGCATTTCCTGTGGGGTCTCCAGGGCATTGCTTCTAAAATTTCCTCCATAGTAAGTCTATTTTGTAAAGAGAAGGAATATTTTCTGCCTGAAACCTGAAATTTCATTGAACTTTGATAGTTTAACCTACCTATGTGGCCATTATTTTCAATACAGAAATGTTTTGTCCCTAATATTTTACTAAAATCAGTACTCTGTAAAATATGTCATTTTATCTTGTGCCTTCAGTTCCCTCCAGGTACATCCCATCACTTAATTCTAGGGCCACACATTCCCTATTATGTATAGCATTGCTGGTGAAGCAGTGAAAATGAGTCCTTTTTATGTCAAGTAGCTGTGAATCTACATTGAAGTTGGTAAGCAACTTCAGGAAAGGCCTACTATGATTTTGAAACAGGCATTGGAATGTAGGCAAAGAGCTTATGCCATAGTGGAACATCGATATGTGACATGGTTTCTCAGCTTGAGCACCATTGACATTCTGAGTTGGATATTTTTTTTTGTAGGTGGGGCTGTTCTGAGCATTGCAGTGTGATCAGCAGCATTGCTGATCTCTACCCACTAGACTCTAGCAGCATTTTCTCCTCCTCTTCCCAGTTATAACAACCAGAAGTGTCCCTGGGTGTCACCAGAGTCACCCCTGCTTGAGAACCAGTGACTTAATGGGAATGCCCCAGGGGAGAGAAACTCCATTGGATAGTGGGATTGAATTAAAACATCAGCCTTTTATATTCTAGGAAGGAAATAAAGGATATTTAAAAAGTATTAGTGAACTTAGTAACGTAGAAACTGAGGTACTGTGGGGTTAATAGCACTGGAAGAGGTAGTACTGGGTAAAGAAAGGGTAGCCGGAGAAGGCGAAGAGTATCCAGTTTGAAACTAGCTTGTGCAGCAGTGTAAGCACGTCCTGGTGGTAGTGATACTGAGTCCTGATAGGAAGATGGATTAAGGGTTGCCAGCAATCAGGAAAATGAAGTTTGACCTCAGGGTGTTGAAGAGTACTTTTTTATGGATATTCCTTAGCTTCCTTTTTCTCTGCTTTCTGTTCTTCGGGCTTCTGTCCTAGGCCTTGATCTCTTCTTACTAGATCCAGTGTGTTGGTTACTCAGCACCTTCTGTTTTATGTGAGATGGATGGTGTATTTTAGATTAGGAATAGCTTCATCTAGTTTGAATCTTGAGTGTTGATCCCTGCTGCTGCCTGGATGACCTCTTCTTCTCCTCGGGCTTCAGTTACTACTCACGTATACTTAGTAAAATCTATACTGGTAGTCTGGTTTTCTTTCCCCTAAATTCCAGAATCATAAAGCCAATCACCTCTACCAGCCAGATGTGCCTTCTGGGGTGCTGTACAGGCATTTTACACTGAACAATCGCAGGGCTGAACTTGTATCTCCAAAGCCGTACTTCTTACTCTTCCAGTGTTCCCAGTCCAATGAATTTATTCATTTAGCAAATGTTTACCAACTCTGTGTACATCTTGCCAGACACTCTGCTATTAAGGACCTGTGTGTGAAACAAAATATCAATAGATGTGGCACCTGCCCTCCTGGAGTTAACATTCCTTATCTCCCCTGTCTAGGCATTCATCACATCATCTTGTTACTTTCTAAAATGTATTTTTTTTTTATCCTTATTGTCATTTTGTTTGGTTCAGATCACAGAATTTCTTAATATAATAGCAAGAGCATCCCCAAACTAGTTACAGCCAAAGGGTTTTCTTATTTATTTAATTTTTTTTTTTTTGAGAGGTTTTTGCTATAGGGTACGTGTGCTCACCAGAAAGACAGAGGCAGAGAGACAGAAAGTAAGAAATCACCCCCCGGGGGGATGGCCACACCGCAGTCCCCTCTCCAACATTCTTCTCTCAGGATCTTGAGCACGCACGCACACGTGCCCAGCGTGAGTTCAAGCCACCGGGTCCAGGACTCGAACGGCAGTTGACTACTTGGGAGTCTAGCAACATAGCCATTATACCAGCTGCTGGTCCCCCAAAGGGTTTTCTTTACCATTATAAACATAATTGTATCACTTCTCTGCTTAAAATCCATCAATAGCTCACAATTGTAATTTTGAAGAGTAATATCTTTTTTATTATTTTTAAGAGAGATTTTTGCTATAGGGCACATGTACTTGCCAAGAAACAGAGAGGCAAGAAATCATCTCCTGGGGGAGACGGCCATGCTGCAATCCCTTCTCCTCCATTCTCCTCTTGGGATTTTGGGCGCACACGCACCCAGTGTGAGTTTTAAGCTGCCGGGTCTGGGACTCATACTATGGTCAACTACGTGGGAGTCCAGCAACATAAACATTACACCATCTGCTGGCTCAGGAATAATACCTAGTCAACCATGGCATACAGTTCAAATTCAACTCTGCAAACTGCCAGCTCTGTCCTTGGCAAATTAATTAACCTCTCTGGATCTCAGATACCTTATGTAAAATGGAGATAATAGTGTAAGCCTTGGAAGTCCTTTTTCAGGGGGATGGGGTTGCTCTCCTCTCAAGTAGTTAGGAATACAGGTGAGCACCACCATACCCTGCTTTTAGGGTGGGCCAGGAATCAAACCCAGGGCCTCCGTATTTGGCCTCAGCCTACCAAGTAGCAGCATCAGCTAAGTTCGTAACATTGGTGGCTAGGCTAGTCTCCCTCATGGAGTGTTTTCTGTACAGAATAATAGCAATTAAAGATAACAACCTTAAGAATTGCTCAGTTTAAGTTTGTAAAATAGTCATCATTGATGGGGAAGAGGCATGATAATAGGTTTTAGAATGTCGGAAAATACTACCCTAGAATAATTGCTTTTTTTCCCCCTCTTTGATAGCTCTTTGACAGATTGAGAGATGAAAATCCAGATTTTAGAGAGAAAATTATAGCAATCAACAGTGAACTTACCCAACCTAAACTGGCTCTTAGTGAAGAAGATAAAGAGGTCATCATAGATTCTACCAATATCATATTCCACTGTGCAGCTACAGTAAGGTTTAATGAAAATTTAAGGTAAGTAAGTACAAGCATTTAATTAGTATATGAACTTCAACAAAATTAGAAGGTCTATTTTAAATTCTACTTTTAAGTGAAGTTGTTTTGAAAGTGATTTGATACTATTTGCCACATGTTAAATATGGCTTCATTGTCCTGCAGGTGTTAATATTCTTCTTATCAGTAGTTTACAAGCACTGGATAACTAGTAGCATATGCTTATTGAAAGAATTTGCCATGAATTGCAAGTGGGAAGAAGCAAGAAACGAGTACAGCAAGAGGAGTTTACCTTGGCTAGGAGTATTAGCTGTAACCCGTTTGTTTCCTTCCCCCACAATTCCTTCAGAGGCCTACATACCCCAACCTTGCTCTTCTACTCCTTATCATATCCATGTAAAAATTAAAATTATAGAATAAGATAAAATGGCTTATACATTTAAAGCCACTCCTCGTTTTTGTTTGAAAGCTCTGGTAGCAGTGTTAGGAACAGAATACATTGGTTATGAATTTAATTTTTGAAATAATTTGGAGTTCCTTCAAGATGCCTGTTCTAAGGACAAACAAATTCTGATTAACAATTTTTAAAAATCTAATATGCATTCAAATCATAGTTTTTAATTCAGAGCATTTGTTTTCATTAGTGAGAGAGAATGAGAGAAAGAGAAAGCACACGAACATGGGGGAGGGAGAGAGAGAGCCTAAGCATTTTCGACAAGGCTCTCACCACCTCACAATTCCCCCACCTTGGCCTCCCAGTTAGCTAGGACCATAGGCGCATATAGCTATGCAGGCTTGTTTATGTTGGGCCAGGAACCAAGCCTAGGTCTCCCACATGGCCTCAGCTATTATGCAGCAACCCCCTCATGCTTGTGCCACCAGCACTGGGACCCAAAGCATTCTTTTAAATGGTATGTCCAAAAATACAGTTTTTATAATATTAATGTAATTATATGGTCATAGGCCAATTTTTTTTTGGGGGGGGGAGAGATTTTTGCTATAGGGTACACATGCTCATTGGAGAGACAGAAAGTGAGAAATCACTCCTTGGGAGATGGCCATGCCATTGTCCCTTTCCCTCCATTCTTGGGATTTTGGGCATACATGCACACATGCCTGGGTTGAGTGTCAAGGCACTGGGTCCAGGACTTGAACCATGGTGGGCCAAGTAGGAGTCCAGTGCCTTAACCACGGTGTTAGCTGCTGGCTGTGGTTGTAGGCCAATTAAAACCTTTTTCAAGTTTCAAAAAACTAGAAGGCTTTTTCTTCAGAATGTTTTAAAATCAAATTCTGGTTACAAAGGTTTTTGATATTATTCCCCATATTGTCTGTATCTAATGTAGACGTTTAAATCTTAATTGTCATTATAACATAACATAATAGTTCAATACCAAAGCATGAGTGTTTTACCTGTATTCTAAGCGATGGCTCTGTAACAGTTTCTTACATTTCTACAGTAATGCTTTACAGTTTTTTAGGAGTTTTCTTATTTATTATTTTAGTGTATGAAGACCTTATCCCCACCATAACGTTATAGGCAAATCCATTTTACTCCTTGGAAAGCTGAGGCAACATAGCAGTGGAAAGTGCATGATCTTAGTTCTAATCTTGACTTAATTAATTAATTTATTTTTTTGGATAAGTCAGTAACCTCCCGAAGTCTCAGTTTTCCTATTTGTAAGTTGAGATAATATTTCTCAAAAATTGTTCTTTCTTTCCCTCAAAAAGTTTAAATGATGGACTGACCCCACAGTCCAGTAAGTGGTTAAGGGTGCCAGATCCCACATGACCTAGCACAGTTTGAATCCCAGCCCAGGCAGATTGAAAAAATATGCCAGGTTTGTGTCATGCATGCCCAAAGTGCTGACAGGATGGAGAAATGGAGGAGAAGGGATTGTGGCATGACTATGCCCTCTTGAGGGTGCTCTCTCTCTCTCTTTTTCTATATTTCTGGTGAGCGGTTGTGTCTTCTGGCAGTTAAAAAGTTTAAACGATGTTTCAGCTTGTAGCAGTTTCTCTATTTACCTCTATTTACCTTTTAGTCCTTTCTATGTAACTAATAGGTAAATTCTGGACATTATGTATTGTGATTCAAAAGCTACAAAGACATGGTATTATAATTTTAGTATACTCTTATTTTCATAAACTATGTGAGTATGTATACTTGTGTACATATCTTCTGTATTTGCCAGCAGTCTTTGGTCGTTAGCTTACAGGTAGGTTTTTAGTATTATCTATATATATCTTCTTTCCACAGTGAGCATGTATCAATCTTCAAATACAGATAGACACTAGTAACTTAAAAAATTTTGCTAGAAAAATGTGTGCACGCACCAGAGAGAAAGAAAGTACCCTTCTGCCCAGCGGAGGATGGTCATACTTCAGTCCCTTCTCTGTTTCTGCTTTTGGGATTTTGGGCATGTGACACACGCACCTGCTATCTTTTTCAACCTGTTGGGTCCAGGACTCTTAACTGTGCAGCCAGCCATGCAGGATTCAGCCGCCTCAGTCACCATGCCACAGCCTGGCCCCTTATAACTTTTAAAAATATTTTTAAGAGCAGATCTTACAAGAAATCTTAATAGAACTGATACCCTCATCAGTTAACAATACTCCTTTTTTTACATTTAAAATTTCTTGTACGTATATATTTTTGCACATAGGCCTAACAATTCATTTATTAATATGGGAAGGGGTCTTCAATAAGTTTGTGGAAAGGAGCAGCAGGTGGTTTGGTTGAGGTACTGGATTCCCACATGGTTGCCTGTGGTTCAAGTTCCAGACCCAGTAGCTTGAAAATCACAACAAATAAATAAATAAATAGGGACCAGCAGTTAGCGTAATGGCTATGTCGCTGGACTCCTACGTAGTCGACCGCGGTTTGCGTCCCAAACCCGGTGGCTTAAAACTCACACCGGGCGCGTTTGTGTGCCTGCCCAAGATCCCGAGAGGAGAATGGAGAAGGGATTGCGGCGTGACCATCCCCTCTGGGTGGTGATTTCTCGCTTTCTGTCTCTATG